TGCAAACTGATATTGTGGCATTCAGTTTTCATTTATTTGGTTACCATCTTGGAAAATCTAATCAGATTGACAGCAATAATTTGTCATCAAACTGCTGAAACGCATAGATAAGTTCTGTAACAACTGCCAAACCAAAGAGATAATGAAAAGTCTGATGATTCATATAAAAATAAAATATAATAAATCCATCCTAACTCAAAATTTGGCCCTTTGAATTATACTACTTAATTACCAGTCATTGATTAAGAAGAAAAGTGCTCCATTTTCACCTCAGAGAACACTCAAACAGGAATGGGAGGAGGAATACAGATATTCTTTTCACTATCCCTGACTTCTGCTAATCCCAGAGAGTGTGAAATTCTGCCAAAAAGGTAGAACTTGACAACTTCACTAAGATACAACAGCAAAATAATGCAAAGATGGATTTCCATCTTTCCATCAGAACTAACTCCTTTCATTCAAATCTTTGCTTTATTCAGCTCACATAAATTTCTGATATTGCTATTATTTTTCTGTCTCTCCTTTAGACTCAGATAGGGACAGGTAGATACTGAATTTTCATGTACATAGTCTTGAAAACTGAAACCTTTCCATTCATTCTTTACTGTCTCTGAAATAAGAAGTGACTAGACAGATCTGGACCAGGAAAAGGTTGAAATGGAAATGTTCCTGGGAAGAATTTCATCTTTAATAAAACGACATATTTAGCAAAAAATTATGTGCTTGCAAATGCCTTCATTAGGCCCAGAGAGCAGTATTTGGTAGTGCCATAAATGAAACAAATATTACCCTCAGAAAGCAACATCCTGTGCACAACACTGTTAGTATAGTTCTCCCACTCACCTTTCTTTGATCGCCTGCCTTTGCATGGTAGGTTTAATGGGTGGACAAACATGCAAGACTAAATAATCTGATTAATAAGGCAGATTGACTGCCTGTATAGTGCTTTGTATTTTTGCTTTGATTTAGATGTTTCAAAGGTCCATAATGAGCAAGGCAGGGAAACTTGAGAATCATCCACCTAAACAAATTAGTTTAAAATTTAGGGCAAGAAATTACTGGCAAGAGTAGAGGAACTGGAGGAGCATGATGTCTGCAGGATTTCTCCTTTGTGTTTGTATACTCTGATTTTTAATAAAATGTTGGCTCTAGGCAAGGTTTTTCCCCATGTCTGAGCCATTTGTAATGTCCCCCATACAGATCCCCTGCACCTTTAGCCTTTGATAGGGATTTGTCTTCAATGAGGCCACAAACAGAACCACCTTCCTCAACCCAAGTGTCTATTTACATGAGACCTGTAGGAATTTAATAATTTGTAGTGTAATTTCAACTTCCATCAAACCTGGTGGAGAGTGGCCAGTCTACTTGAGAGCTGAGGGTACATGAATCTCGGCAAATGTGTAGAAAAATTATTGAACAAACTTCTTTTTTAGTAAACTTGGTTTAAAATGGTTGCTAAATATCAGGCTCTTATCTCTGTGCAATAATATTCCCTCCTCCTAGTGCCTTTGTTGCAGTTGTGAATCCTTGATGCTTTGGGCACTTTCTTATCTGCTGATGTGTCCACTTAGGATTCTGATGTGAAGGTCACTTTTTCTAACAGCTTATCTCCTTTGAAAATTTAGGCAGGTACAATGAACAAATGTGAGATTTTGTCCCCTTTCAAACATGCTCTGCATGCTTGAAACCATGAGTCATTCTTGCCTTTTTTTTACCCCCATACCTTCAAAAACTTGAGAGTGAAACACAGGTAGTATATCTGTCTTAGAGCAGGACAATTAAGGTAATTAGCCAAAGCAACCATTCAGTCTGTGTAAAGCAGAGCTGAGGAAAATAGGAGGGATTTCTCAGCATGAAAGAAGTAATTGAAGTTACCTCCATGCTCTCAGTAACTGCTGTCAACTTGAGAATTTAGCCACATGCAAACCAAAAAGAACAATGCCCAAGCAAAAGGAAAAGGGAAAACAAGGCATTTAAGACTATCACAGAGGAGATTAGATGAAGATCCCACTACAGGAACTCTTGACACTCCAGCGAAAGCTTAAGAGACTGCCCTGAATTAAATGTGTCAGAAGTGGAACTAACAAAAGCCACTGTGCCCAGTAGGCTGAGCTGGGCTCCCCAGAGGGCTCACTGCCCATCAGAAATTAGTCACTGGGACAGAGGAGGTGAAAGAAAGGGAGCCCTGCAAGTTGGCTGAGCAACAGGGGCGGGAGGGAGGTGTTCCTCGGGATTGCTGCAATATTCCCCATTCAGGGCAGAGCTGTGGGATAACTGCTGGCAGCAGGGTATGCAACAATATTTGAGATCTGATCTGCCACAAAAAAATACAGATGTTAGTGAAATACATCATCTGAGGTGCTTAGAGATGATGGAATAAATGTTTGGCTGTAGAGAAGCACGATGGCAGGAGTGAAGAATAACATTTTGCACTTGTCTTTTTCCAGCCCTTTGTTCCCTCAATATTTCCATTGCCGTGGCATGTGGACCATAGTGGGACATGTTGGTGCCACTCATACTCATCCCTTTCGTGGCAGCCAGTGGCTGGTGAGACATGGGAGTGATGGCTCTCTTGCCCCACAGCTGCTGCAGCTCAGGAAACACTTGGAGCAGAGTGTGCTGCAAGCCATTCCAGGGGTTGAGGGATGGTGGAGACATTGCTTTACATTTAGAGTTCAAATTCAGGACATTTCTGGAGAATTCCTTGCAGACAGTGTGCCATAGCACTACTCATAAACATACTTCCACCTGAGCTCATAGGAAGAAATGAGGAAATGGTTGAGAGATGTATCTTTTCCAAAAGCTGCAACCCTTAGGTCCTGAGGCCGTGTACTACATGTTGCTGATTGATCAGTGTGTTCAGCTAGGAGATCTGTACGGGGACGCTGGGGCAGGGCTCATGCCAGCAGGGCTTGTGAGATGTGTAACTTGGCAGGTGAGTGTCCTTCTGTCCAACGGGATCTGTCCTGCAGAGTGCTTTGTGTCACTCCTCTCAGACACACCATGATAACAGATACCTCTTGTCATTAACTCCACCAGCTACTGGTTTTCTAACCCTTCCCTTCATCTGAGTGTCAGATTTTTCACTTGCAAATATCTCCAGAGCAAGCCTTCTCATCCAGAGGAAGCAGAAGGAAATTGCCCTCCTTAATGAGCATGGGCTAAAAGAGGAGGAATGCTTCCTGTCCTCTATGAACACAGTTGGTTCATTATAGATACTGTTTGATGTGGCTGAACTTCTCCTTCAAACAGACTGTTTGAAAAAAGGCAGGGTCCTGACTCGTTCTTTTGTTACTTTTCACAGCTGGCAAGTGCCAACTTGCGCATTGCAGCTAAATTCCAGCTAAATTTGGAGAAACTGAACTTTTCCATCTTATCCACATGGTTTCTGTTCTCTTTTGCAGGTGTTGCCCTGATATGTTGGATAGCACTTCATAGGCTAAACTGCTTCCTTGTGCCACACTTGTCAAGAGCAACCTCATTTCAGCCAAAAGCTTGTTTTGCATGGTATTACCTACAGGCTGAATCTGATGGGGTTCTTACTCCATCTGGTGCTTCCCTTGCTTTCCATAGAAATGTTGTGAGGAGAAGGTTAAGGTAAGGACTGCAAAATGCCTCCAGCCCTAAGTCTAAAGTCAAGCAGACTCTAGTGCCAGTGTTGAACTTTATTCCTTCTCTTCAGCCCTGAGAGACTGCTCTGTCACCAGCCAAGTGCAGCCGTGGGATCTGAGTCTGTATGTCCCTCACATATAACAACACTGTGGAATTCAGAGTTAAAATAGACTGTGTGTTGATGTTGTCATCATTGTATGATAGCTTTAATAGGCTAATAGAAAAGCTGATGGGAAAAATCCTGGTGTTTATTTTTCTGTTGTTGTTTTTTTTCCCTTAATGACCAATAGGTCAGCTTTTAAAAAAAAAGTTTGACAGGTTTAAGTAAGAGCTCAAAAAGATCCTGGAAACAGAGGCACTTCTGAGAACTCCAAGTGTGAAGCTGTAAAGTCTTGATATGCTAAAATAAAGGATGTTTAACACTTCAGCATTTGCCCTTTATTCAGCTATCTTGTGTTGTTGCAAATCCAGTAAGAGCTGAAAACAGGCAACCTCTTCACAGTGCCGGTTTTTTTTTTTTTTGGCTGTTTAATAAACATACACTAGATACAAATTTAGCCAATAAAAGGTTCATGTAGTAAGTATGTATGTATAATACATGCACAAAAGGGCTATTCAAAATGCATAGCAACCACTC